ATGTCAGAACCGGTGCCATCATGGCACCGGATACCGGTACCCATCCCTACTGCACATTGTGATTTACAGGAATTCAGTGCTGAATTGGTGCACTTCCCCTTTTATATCTCAGTTTGATAATGTTGATGTTCCATTTTGCTATCAGCTTCCATTACAAGTCTCTTAAACAACCACATTGTTCGATTTTGTACCTTTTCTTTCACAGAGTGACACTTTTTTATCATTATTATTCTGTCAAGAGGCTTAGATGGCAGGGTCCAAGGTAAATCTTCAGCATCTTGGCAGAAATGTTGTTTGATTATTCAAAGAATTCAGCTGCATTTGTTTTCGAAGTTGATAAAGTTCACCAACACTGCAAAAAAGATTTGTAACTAAGAGATAATGTCCGTGTTGAGAGAGGGTGAAAATATAAGGAGCGATAGACATTTTTCAGGATACATCAGGATAAGAGTACATGAATGCTTTATTCTTCCTCATTCATGAAGTATGTGTGCAGAGCATACACATTAAGCCTGTTTGTATTTGTGTGTGAGGTGCATGCAAATTTGTTTTACATTTAATTGATAAAATGGTGAAAACAGGAAATGTGTGGCGTGACTGTTTCTATAAATGTGTTAGAAAATCTGTAAAACGGTTTTGTATTTTAGGCGGATGAGTGCTTGTGTGATTGGGAGCTTCTGTCTTGCTAGTACCAGTTTGGAGTCTTTACTTTTAGAATCATTTGAATCCTTCATGGTATAGATTTAACAAGGTGCTCGAAAATTCCTCAGAGACTTTTGCACTTTTGTACTTTTGTACTGATATTTCAGCTACACGTGAATGATGCTAATCTTCCACCACATCCCACCAAAGGTTTTCTGTTGGATAGAGATCTGATGAGTACAGAGAACTCATGCTCATGTTCAAGAACGCAGTTCGAGATAGTTTAAGCTTGACATGGCATGTTGTGCTGCTGGAACCATCCATCAGAAGATGGGTACACTTTGGTTATAAAGGGATGGACATATTTGCTGTGGAGTTTAAATGATGCTCAGGGGCCCAAAGTGTGCCAAGAAAAAGTACCAGATACCATTACACCACCAGCAGCCTGAACCACTGATGCAAGGCAGGGTTGGATCCATCATATGTAACGCTGTCATCTAAATGTTACGCTGAAAATTGAGACTCATGAAAACCATGAGTGAGAAACACTCTGTCAGTCTTCTATTGTCCGGTTTTGGTGAGCCTGTTCAATCTGTAGCCTCAGTTTCCTGTTCTTAGCTGACGAGTAGTATGCAGTGTGGTCTTCTGCTGCTGTAGCTGATCTGCTTCAAGGTTTGACATGTTGCATATTCAGAGATGCTCTTCTGTATTACTGCAACAAGTGGTTATGGCAACCATGCCACATTTAAAGTAGCTTAAATCACCTTTCTTCCCAATTCTGATGCTCAGTTTGATCTTTAGCAGGACATGTTGCCTGTGCTTACATGCTTATATACACTGAGCTGCTTCTGTGGTATTGGCTGATTAGAAATCTGTTTTAATGAGCAGTTGAACTGGTGTACCTAATAAGGTTACTCCTGGTAATTAGGTTTAGCAAAAATTAGGCTTAGTGAAAAAGTTGTTACTGTTCAGAAAATGCTGGTTATGGGTTAGATGCTTAGTGAATTGAATATGTGATAGTAGTGATGCTCTATATTTTTGCATGGAAATGTCTTCCTGTAGTTTATGAAACTTTCAGATATTATTTCTTGAATTTTCTGCTTTGGTTAGCAACACTTTTTTTAAGACTTACGGTGCTTTTCCTCATTCACACAACACTTTACAGGGATATCTTTGTCTGTCCAGTATCCTGTCATAGCATAACTTAGAGTTTGTAATCAATCTGCTCTACCTCCTGAGTTAGAGTTAACTAAATATTCTTGACATTTAAAATGCACAAGTTCCCGTGCACCCAGAGATTTGTTTCGGTGGAAACACACTAGATATTAAACACAAGTTTATGAGAGATGTTCATCAAATGATTCGTCTCATGTGACGACGTAAACAGGTCTTGAAATGAAAGTTATGTGAGCTATTACTTTGATATAAACTGAATCAGGAATTGAAGGCTGTGTGAACAGGATGACGCCTTCTTGTCTGCTAGAGAATTTAAAGAAATTTAAAAAAATGATTGTGTGCTTCCCACTTCTCTGTCTTGCAGGCGGAGATCGTTAAACGGCTGAACGCAATCTGCGCCCAAGTCATCCCCTTCCTCTCTCAAGAGGTAAGACTCAAAAATGCCTGTCACTGTGAGTTAAGAAGGAGGTGGGTGAGAGAGAGTCAGAGAGCGGGAGGAAGGGAGACAGGAAAGGGGAGAAGTGTGTGGTGGATTTTAAAGCAAGAGAAAGAAAAATATGGGGACACGCACACACACGCAGACACACACACTCGTACAGATTATCCTGGGCTAATCCCCCCTGCTCAGGATAGACAGATATGCTCTGAACTTATCAAATGTCTCCCACTAACATATGCAGGAGCCAGCGGCTGAGTGTGTGTGAGAAAATACTTTTTGTGTTAAAATACATTATAATTATGTGCACATACAGCAGTGGGTGTGAGAAGTGTTTTTATGCAGTGTTTATTGTGAAATTTTTAGGTGTGCATGTGTTGAGCTGATAAATCCTTCCTCTGAGGAGCTGACAGTGTGTGTGTGTGTGTGTGTGTGTGCGTGTGTGTGCTGAGGGGTGGGAACAGCAGGAAGGAGTGAGTGTGGACTCCAAAAGCTCTCCTCCAGATTAGCCATGGATTAGGAGGGTTTAGGGTGGATTAGGAATAATGGCATTAGACTGTGGTGCTGCTACACAGCCCTGAGGCCTGCAGAGAGGGGAGGCAGGGAGAGGAAGCTGCTTTGTTTTGGTGCACAGCCTTGTTTACTGCATGTGCAAGTAAAATGTAACACATTCACATTATTGTTGTGCAGCAAATCACATCGACTGTGTCTGTGTATTTCTGGTGAAAGCGCTTTGTTTTCTATTTTTATTTTTGTCATTTTCTGATAATGTTTCATTGGCCTTTGGGGCCATGTAAGTATGATTGGTCCATTCACAGCAAAGTTTGTGTTAAGTCAGTTGACAAAAATGTTATTTCTGACAAATTTATAAAGAAAAAATATACTTGAGTAAATAAAATCCCCCAATTAACATAACATATAAATAGAATCATTATCATGGTGCAGAGTTTGTGTCTCTGCCATAAAAAGGCCCCTTTTTTAAGATCGCATATGCATTCCTTGATTGACATTTACATTTGCAAGTAAGGTAAGGCAACAAAAGTGCCATCTGTTTCTGAAAGTTTTGGAATAACTACGTCCTTAAAGTGGACCAGTTATACTTTTTCTTATTTTAACTCTTTATCAAACAAGTATCATACATACCAGCTGGACTTATTTTGGAGTTTTGGCTGTAAAATTACAAAATAATTCTCATATTTCACCAACCATTTAAGTTTTCTCTCTTACCTATAATGGTTGAGGAGTTACAGTAATGTGAAGCGCACATGATAGCATCTAGTTGGAGCTAATTTTTCTGTCGGTGTTCAGACAGAAGTACTTCAGGAATACAGTGGGAAACCATAAATGTTGTCTTCTCTTCTTTATGAAACCATTTCAATTTTTTCTCTAGCACATCGCTAACAGAGTTATGATCATTTAAAGCAGCTGTCCCCAACCTTTTTTGCGCCACAGACCGGTTTATGTCCGACAATATTTTCATGGACCGGCCTTTAAGGTGTCGTGGATAAATACAACAAAATAAAACCAGTACCGGTACCAAAAAAAGACCCAGGGAAACCGAGTTAACGATAAAAACGATAAACAAATAACGATAAAAACCCTGAAAACCATAAATTTCACACACGAGCCTCAACTCTCGCGGCCCGGTACCAAACGACTCACGGACTGGTACCGGTGCGTGGCCTGAGGGGTTGGCTGATTTAAAGAGCACTTGTAAGCACTTGGGCACACCACCTGGCCGCTAGTTAAAACTATGGATCTTTGTGATGTCAAAGAGAAGAAATATTCTTAATATGCTCTTCTCAGAAGTGGTGGTTATGTACTTGGTCATGTCTGGTACACAGCTCTGCCGATGTGCATAGTAGGGACCCAGTCCACCTGCTTCTCCTACCATCTGTTTTCAAGGTGCAGTTGGGTGGGGTGAGGAATTACGCTAAGCTATTGTAGCAGTTTTCAAAAATGAAAATCTGAAACTGGAAATGAGCATAGTTTGTAAAATCTGGCATTTAGTTACTCGTTATTCACATGTTCCTCGGTTGTTGCCATATCCCCAGTGAGGAATCATTCCTCTGACTTCAAGGTGTTCATGTGCTTTTGAGTTGGAAAGACACCAAGATGTGTTTAAGTCAGTTGCTCAGAGTAAAAGAAAAAGACATGTTGTTCTCTGCGAATAACTGCTTTGCCTGACTTCTTACTTGACTCACCTCAAACAAATACCTCCATGCTTATCTAGTTCCCTCCTTGTGGTTAACAGCAACCAGATATTTACTTAAACTCACCATATTTTTATGTATGACATTAACAACTCAGCAGATCATGCATCAAAATTTTCTGAGCTGATTTCTGAGCTCTTCATTTGAACTTTCTCAGTCAGAAAGTCAGTTTTTGCTCTTATTAAGCTACCAAATGAATGCACAATTAATTTGATATAATAATTTTAGTAAATTTTGTTTGCGTTACTGTGTTGGTTATTAACCTGAATAATTAATCACTGAATAGGTGAAATCTAAAAGTATTTTGGATGAGTGTATGTGCTTTTGGCTACTCCTTTACTTCCCAAGGGGGCCACCACAGTGGATGGATCCCCATATTTTCATTTTGGCACAGATTTTATGCCAGATGCCCTTCCCAACAGAACCATCTCATTTATCCAGTTTTACAACCAGCACTAGGAATACATTACCGTGTAATCTCCACCCCGAGGCTAGATTTTTGTCCCCTCCAAGTCCCAAAAGGTGTAAAGTGAATATGTTAATCACTAAACCATCGAGGCACAGTTTTGCTGTGATTGCAGGTATTGTTTCATATTTGGAGTCAGATTTTCCCTCACAGTTTTACAAGAAATCATAAGTAATCAATCATCTTTAGGCAAATACAAAAACAACAGTGAAACAGTTATTCTGTAAGAAAATCTACTTCAGTGCACTGAATCCTTCGTGCCATCTGAAGGCAACAGAATATGTACATTGGTAAATATAGAGCCTCTAAATTCAGACGTCCTCTGTCAGAGTGCAGAGGCATTATGCAAACTATCACTGATTATCTACGTTCAGTCCTGTGCAAATTTTAACAGGCTGCTAGGATACGACCCTCTACAACTCCATCTCATTAGTATCGCGCATCATCTCGTCCTTCTCAACTTTTTTCAGTATTCTCAGCTTTTCGTATTTACTCTTGAAATGCATCACAGTGGAAACACTGCAGCAGAATGTCTGAGGTAGACTTATAATTTCGATTTCTTTCTCTTAAATGCCCCCCTCCCCCGGCATCTGTTCAATACCTCTTCGAAAATGGTTTACCTCACCAAGCCTTTAACTTATACTAGCAACATCTGCACATCTAAAACTGCTTCCCCAAGTGTGACATTCCAGTGGAGCCTATGGTGTAACACTATACAAAGAAATGAAAAGCATCTGCACAGATTGAACTCTAGTGTTGATTATACGACTGATTTTGGATTGTTCTATTTTTTTAGAACTGTTGCATAAAAAGTGTTTGGCACAATTTATATAGTGGATCATTCCATGTGTGTGTGTGTGCGCGCGTGTGTGTGTCACATTCAGGCAGGTTAGTCTGAGCCTGCAGAGGTGTAGCTGAACTCGATGGTCAGGTTCATTTCCACACCTGATAAGCTCTTTCATCTCGGGCGTACTTTGATGTTTTGCGCTCCTGGATGAATCTCGCTGCTCTCTCACTGTCTGGATCTGTCTCCCTCTCTCTGTACCCTTTGTATGACTTTGCCCTGTTAGCTGTCTGCCTCTCTTGGTACCCATCTTTTTTCCCTATGTGTTGAACTTTTTGGAGCTGTTCAGTGTCGAGACGTGTGAGCAGACTGAGCAAAAATCGGAAAACAGTGCCGCATAAAATTTTAATAACAATCTCAAAACGGAAACATTAAACCAATCACAGAATCCACAAAATATTGTACGAGTCTGTGACTGAATTTTTGGCCACTTGTAATACACATCTTTAACTGCATCCTTTGGACATCCACTTGTTTGTTTGTTTTTAAATTCTCCTCCACGTAGAGGAAATCAACCAGCCTGTGCAGGTTACACTTGACTAACTAGTATACCCTAATTAGCTGCTAGCTTCTTCTTCTGCCTGATGACTTTTAATGAATGCACTGATGGGTGTCAGATTCTGAAGCGAAGCACTGAAGTGCAGTCATGATTCAATGGCCTCGGGGAATCTTGGCTGTCTGGCATTTGACCTGATTCTGGTCAGAAGCTTGAGTTTTAATACAAAGGAAAAAATATATATCAAGTTTCAGGTGATTTTATAGCACGCTCGTGTTACTGAACATTGATATCTGTTTTAATGAGATTGGCATATTTGACAATCAGTGCATTGTTAATTCTGAATAAATTGCAGGCTGTGTGAAGTTACAGTGTGCAACTAACTGACAGCTGCTTTTTAGCTGTGAATAAGGTTTGATAGGCAAAGCACAATGACGGATTGAGGTGGAAAGCAGGTTAAAAGATATCACAGAATGCATTAGAATAATTGCCGTACGCATATGCAAGTTCAATGTGATGAAACGAGATAAGTTCCTGCTCATTTTACGTGTCCATTCCAGTCCATTTTAAATGTTGTTTGAATTTTGTAAAGATGTTGTTTGTAATAACTATAAAATTCTTTTCATATCATTTTTTTCTCCGTCTCAGCTGCTGTTTCAGTTTCAGTTTTTTTCCCCCCGTTTCTGTGTGTCTCTCAGCATCAGCAGCAGGTGGTGCAGGCAGTAGAGAGGGCCAAGCAGGTCACCATGGCTGAACTCAACGCTATCATAGGAGTGGGTGTATTACACACACACACACACACACGCAGACACACACAATTAAATACAAAATGCATAGATTATTTTTTTACAGCAATGTTGGAAAATAGCTAAAGAGATTAATTGAAAAAGAATAATGTGAGGAGAAGAGTAAGTACAAAGTCAGATGTATTCATAATAATATACAATAAAACCAAAGTATTTTGTATAGTAGTAATAGCTAACTTCGTTCTGCAAGAAATTTGAATGTTTTAGCATCTTTCACAGAAAGATAAATCAAAGGTTTTGGTGTTTTTGATCAAATTAAAAAAAAGTGTATCTGATATTTAACTATTCTAGCTGTAGCCTACATGTTTCAGTTGCTATCTTTTCCCCGCTCACTTTGAATGTGTTTTTCTTTCCTTTTGTTACCTACTTATTTGTATTTTATCATGCATGATCTTTCAAGTCTTAATTGGTGTTTCTGTGTCTGGTTCAGCAGCAGCAACTCCAGGCTCAGCACCTCTCTCATGGCCATGCCATCCCTGTCCCGCTAACACCCCACCCAGCGGGCCTTCAGCCCCCTCTGCCTCCTGGGGCCAGTACTGCCAGCCTGCTGGCCCTGTCCTCTGCCCTGAGTCACCAGCTGCCACTCAAAGATGAGAGGAAGCATCACGATAACAACAGCGAACACACACGAGGTGAGGTCTGCTCTGTATGTGCTGTTTTAATATAGCAGGTGTTGATTTTGGTTTGTGCGTGCTTGTTTCTGTGTGAGTCTTGGTCTCTTCATGCCTGAAATTACCTTTGCATTTGTTACATCTGCTTGTATGTTCAAAGTCACAATTTGAGTTTTCAAACTACTGCTTTAAGGTTTACTCTAATTATGGTTTAGTCAAAAAGCGAGTTACCTGATTATCAGGGGCAAATTCTTACACAAGAGAAAGGTAGATACAAAGATACGCTCTCAGTTTGTTTACTGTAAAGGCAAAAAAAAGCAGTTTCCCCAATCTAGTCTTTTCAGCCAAGGTGTATCAGGTCTTAAAATCAGGTAAACACAATCTCAGTTAAACAACAACAGATGATATATTGCATCATGTCATTATTTAACAAAAACTAAGCCAAAACGTAGAAGCAGCCTGTGAAAAAGCTTCAATAGCTCGTAGAAGCACCTTTGACAGCAATAACTTAAAGTAATGCCTTCCTTATGACAGTCTCTCACATTATTGTGGAGACATTTTTGCCCACTCATCTTTGCAACATTGTTTCAGTCACCTGAGAGTTGAGAGCAGTATCTCTTGCTCACTAAAGGTCCTGCCATAGCATTTCAGTTGGTCTGAGATCTTACTGTGCCATTGCTGCATCTTTTTTGCTTTTTTTTTGCTGTTGTAGATTTGCTGTCGTATTTAGAATCACTGTCCTGTTGGATTACCCAGTTTTAACCAAGCTTAAGCGTTCAGACAGATGGCCTCACATTAGTCTAGAATATTATTATATTATTGTATTATTATAAAGAGGAGTTTGTGGTTAACTCGTTGACTGTAAGGTGCCCAGATACAAATCATCAACCCTGCACTGCCGTGTTCTACAGCTGATATGAAGTGTTTGTTTGGATATGCTCTGTTTGGTTAAAGCCAGATATGGTGCTGTGCATCACGGCCAGACATCTCCACTTTGGTCTTGTATGTCCTCAGACATTGTTCCAGGAATGCTGTGGTTTGTTCAGAAGCAACTTTGCTAACTTTAGCTGTGCTGCCATGTTCTCTTTATAGAGAAAGGGCTTACTCCTGGCAAACCTTCCAAACGAGCCATATTTGTAATTGCACTGTCAGGAACTTTAACAGTTGACATGCTAACTGAGTCAGGAATGTAGCTCTTTCTCTGTATTGCATTGCATGGTCTGATCTTAGGTAAAATTTGCTGGGATAACCACTCCTGGGAAGATTAGCAGCATTCTTGAATGTTTCCTGCTTGTGAATATTTTTTAATGATGATGATAGACTTCAGAATGTTTGGAAATGGCCTTATAAGACTTCCTTAATTAATGGGCAGCATCAATTGCTTCTCCAAGATAATTATTGATGTCTTTGCTCCTTGGCATTGTTTTAACACACCACTGAATGTTAACGACGAGCAAACTGCCAAAGCCTCTGTTTTTATAGAGGTGCTCACACTTGCTGATGATCAGTTAATTAAATGGGTGTGCAGAATCTGACTGCTACTTACTTACACACACTGCTTCTGCATTTTGGCTTTATTTGTGTTCAACAAATAATTGCACAGTATAATATATCACATGTTGTCATTCAGCTGAGGTTTATTTCCCTCATTTAAAACCTGCTGAGGACAAGAGGTTTTGATTACGCCTTGATGTGTACAGCCTTATAATTGGAAGAAAGTACACTTTGTTTTTATCGTGACTCTTGGTGAGACGGTTTGAAGCGGACTAAAATACTTCGCAACAACTTGGCTGTTTTATTTCACTCACGGACAGATGCTAAATATATTTGTTAAACATAAACATCAAAGCTTAAATCTTTTGTTCAGTTAATGATCCAAATCCACTTTTACATGTCAAAGTATTCACCCAGCATTACGAATTACCACTTGTAATGGCTGATGCTTAATTGTTAGTGTTCTGAATGAACAGCAGTTAAACAATTAAAAACTGATTTGTCTTTATGCCATTTTAATTGGCCTAATAGGAAGCAATACACAACCACCATGATGCCTCTTTTCTCCTGTTCACACAGAGCGCTTCTAATTCTTCTCTGAGCTGACTTTGAGCTCAAGCATTTAATTACTCTTCATTGAGACTATGTGTGTGCATGTGTGTGCATGTGTGTGCATGTGTGTGCATGTGTGCGTACGTGTGCGTGTAGGTTTGAAACTGTGTGCCAGCACTTAATTACTCTGTTGCAGCATGTCAGTGAGGGTTTTTACAGTGCAGCAGAGCAGTTAACCTTGCACTGTAGCTGCAGTAAAGCTAACGGCTGCTAACTGAGGTAATACTTACCCACCTAAGGAGCACAGTCACTAAGAATACAGTTCCAGCTACAGCTTGCTTCCTGAAATGACTATGTGAACAAAGGGAATAAAAACTTTCTTTTTTCCCCTTTTAGTATTTTAAAAAGCATTTTCTCTGCAGTTTACACTGTTGAACATTGTGTGACTGTGGTGCTAACCTCAGTGCATTTTTAACCCGCTGGAAACCACATTTAGAAACTTCACTGGTCAGTAATAATGGTTAATATTAATGTGTTAAAAGACTGACACTGAAAATGACAGATAATGTACAAACTCTAATAAATAAAAATCTATTCACTATGTCAGCTCAGAGCAGAGTACTGAGGCAAACACAAATTAAACCAACAAATCCTCCAACATTTATCTGAGTTATGGTAAATGGACTGGTTCTTATATAGCGCTTTTCTACTCTGTCCAAGCACTCAAAGCGCTTTATACAGCTAATTCATTCACCCAATCACACAAGCACTTCTAAGCTTAAGTGCTCAGTATCTAACATTCATACACAGTCACACTCCGATGGATGCATCGTAGAGCAACATGGGGTTAGTATCTTGCCCAAGAATATTTGGCATGCAGACTGGAGCAACCTGGGATTGAACCACCGACCTTCCGGTTAGTGGCTGATCCGCGCTGCCACCTGAGCTACAGCCACCCCAGTTGCTTTTTCTACTTTCTTGCTTTAGTTGTTTTTATCTTACTGCCCACTTTTATTTTTGTATTGTATGTTTTGGTTTAGGCACCAACACCACTTGGTTAGCATTTAGGCTACGTCCACTTTTTTCAGTTGTTTTCACAGAGTTGTGCATCCACAAACGTCTGGAAATGCGTACGTTCCACTACCGTGCATGCATGAAACACAAGAAGATTCGACCTCATTTAATCTGCCGCTTATTTACTTTCCGGCTCTTTGAAACATCGCGGCAAAATGTTGAGGAAAAGCACCGAGTTGTTGCTGCGAGTAACACAAAAGTACAAAGTTGCAAAACCGAGTGAGAGTTAAAGAATTTGAAGAAAAGCCACCTGGAGCATATACAAACTGATATTAATATTTAATAGGACTGTCAAAATTCAGAGCAAACAAAACAACTGCAGTATAATGCCCTCCGCTATCTTATTTCAACTGGTCACATGACTGCATCATATGACTAACATGCCTCATCGTTTTAGAAAGTCTGCATTTTTGCTGTCCAACACTTGTCCACGCCTTAGTGTTACCAGTGTGCTGAGTTCTGCCCCAATAAAGTTGCAAACATCAGCACACAACCAGAAAAAAAGACATTTTCAAAACTTAAGTCTTAAAGCTGAAAAACTGAGGTTTCCACTTCTTACTTTATCTAAATCCTCAAAAGGTTCTCCACAACTTTGCAATCAGGATTTAGAGCAAGTTAGGTTGATTGATTAATCTGCAGCTGCTCCTGTTCATTTGTCGAAGTGCCTTGGGAAAATAATGAACTTAGAGTTTCCAATGTGTAGAGGTCTGCTTTCAAAGACACCCCTGTCACTATCAATGTGTGAAAGCATGCGTGAATGGTTAATTGAGAGCAAAACTGTAAGAGATTTATCTGTTAATTTGGAAAAGAGGTGTAAGTGCTATTTATTTGCAGTAGTACTCTAATAGTACGCCTCAAGATCCATAAACAGTAATGAAATTCCTCACTATCTTCATCAAAAATATCATAAATTCGCCATTAGCTCTCTTTTTGTATCTGTATGTATCTGTTATATGCAGCAGTGTGTGTGTTTGTGCGTTTGCCAGTGTGTTCTTGTGCTTCAGACATTGAATCTGTCATTCTTTTTTTCTATCTCATGCCCTCCGCCCTCTCAGACAGAGACTCAGTCAAGGTAAGTCCTTCCTTTCTTTATTCCCTTTGTAAAAAAAAAAAAAAAAGACACGTTTAGAGCATAGCTTCACTTCTGCTCGCTCAACTTCTCTGTGTCATTTTGTACTTTGAATTTTTTTTTTTGTTGATATAAAAGGATAGACAAGTTTAGATTTTTATTCATAACGCACACAAAAAGCCTGTCTGTGATGAAATCTTAATGTTGGCTTTAAGGATGTCTATGTGCACGTCTGTGTTCATGTAAAAGAGACTGTTAGATCAAACTGAAAACAGTTCTGTGACATTTCCAAGATCCTAAATATTTACACATGTAGTATTTGATTTAAAACATTACTGTAAAAAGAAAAGCTCCGAACATGTCGAACTGGCGACATGTTCGGGGTGCATCCTGCCGCTCGCCAAATGACAGCTGGGATAGGTTCCAGCCCCCCTGCCACCCTTAATTGGATAAGTGGTTAAGAAAAAGAATGGATGGATGTTCACACAAATGTCCTATTATGAAATTTTAGTTTATGCTTGTCAATGTAATTGGAAATGAAAATGACCACACTGAGGCTTAAAGAAAACACTATAAGCTTCTGATCTTATTGTCATTTTCATATTCTTCACTTGTGCTTTGTGTGTAATAAAAATATCAGATATGGGAAACTGGTAACAGCTCGGGAAGAAAAAAAACAAAACAGTGTGAAAGAGAAACCCCAAGGTGAGCAGAGAAGAAAGTGGGGGGAAAAAAGCACAGTATGGTTAGTGAAGGAAGGAGGGAGCAGAAAGAGGCAGCGCAACAGATCACTGTTCTATCCAGCGCTTGTAGTAATTAGTCCCTTAAGCGCAGCGTTTTTCCCAAGGCAAACATTTGGTTTGTTGAATACTCAATGAGCAGATTAGCATTTCTTTATACCAGCAGGCTGAGCGCACACACTTTTACACAAACATGCATGAGTTTAGAAGCCTGTGCATGTGTGTGTGTTCTTTGGTGTTTTGGAGTAGGCGGAAACAGGAGGAATGCTCTAACTGGAGGTATGTTTGTTATCTCTTGCCCCCCATGTAGTTTTCTCCTCCTCCACACACACACACACATGTTCAAACACACCTGGATGCACATGCACATACGCTCAGAGGTGTAGGCACCATGATGGGAGAGATTAGCAGTGTGTGTGTGTGTGTGTGAGGTCACAAGAACGCTTTGATAAAGATAGAGAGAGGCCAGAATGATGGATGCCTTTCATTAGTGCCCTGTGAGAACACACACACACACACACACACACACACACATGCAGAGCTGCTCTTTGACATGGCGGCCAACAGTCACTTCATGAAACCAATAAGCCCCTTGTCAGTGGTCTGCAGTTGCCTTGGCAACAGTCCACAGAGTACAGTGTGTGAATTGCATGAACATCTGTGCCTTAATGTCCTTGGCGTTAGCACCTCACACACTGATAAAGCTACGTGAATGTAAACACTACTTGTGTGTGTGCTTGTGTGTGTATAGACGCCAGTACAGGCAGTCAGTTATGCAGTTACTTTATGGTGTGTTCAAGGACTACAACTTCACAGACCTGATTATGAGTACACATTAATTGCTGGATCAGTGGTCAATGACAATTCTATTTTAATTCTGTGTTTTTAGTGTTTGTGGGGTTTTTTAAAAGTCATTTCTGAAATGCAAATTCTCACAAACAGGTTTTCTTTTTTTTAATTACCTTAAATCAAATTAGACTCGTAGAATCACATAGTAACATTGTAACCATCTTTGTCTGTCTGCGGGATTGTTTTTGTCTTTTTTTTTAAAAGAAACAGGAGGAACACATTTCTAATGAGGTCGCTTTCAAGTTTAGACTGACCTTTACAGTTAATCACCTGTTGAAGTATAAATGCAGTGCAGCTTGTTGTTTGTGCGATCGCTACAGTGGTCTTTGTGTTGAATTTTGTCGCTGGTAAACAAGCTGTACAGATGCAGTCTGCTTGTCTTTGTTTATGCCGGGATGCTCTTTAAAAGCTCTGCATACAATGTACAGTCTGGCTTCCCATGCTGTGTTGGCTGCAGAATAATAAGTGACAAATTGAGCTGAGCGGAGTGAGAGAACTATTAGACAAAATTACATCAAGCCAGAGTTCTGAAGATTTTGGGGTTTTTACAGAAATCATTTGTGCAGAGCTCCCTGTGATCCAGCGTAGAAAAAAACATATTCGTTTATATAAATTCACAATTCTTAGATCTGTGCAAATTTGCTGATGACTTCAGAGAACAAGAACGTCCCTTGTAGTTTAAATCGTTTAAAACTGAAAGGCTGGTTTTGAATTTATAGCACAAATATGGACACTCTGTGAGGTAAATCTACCCTTAGATCTAGATAAATTGGACTTACTTGGGCAATGTGGTTGTCGCTAAAATGTCTCTGAACAAAGAAGTTGTTTCTTTGGAGAACAATATGAGAGGATTTACACATTTACACACTTTTTTCATGCTGCACATGGGGAGGTTCTGTGTTTTTGTGCATGTTGATGACACAGGATTTTCAGATAGCATGCTATTTAGTATTTTCTGTGATAAAGTTTGGCAGTAATTTGATTGAACAAGTGGCTCTGTGTGTAATCTCTATGAAAACATATCTTCTGATAAATATGCAGTTTGTAAGTAAAATGTATGATGTTTGGCACCTGGAACCTTTCTGGCTTCCATCTGGTCGTCTGCTTGTAGCCCTAATCCTGAGCAGGATTTGGTTGCATCTAGTTAAACAGTCTCTGTGGAGAGCAAAAGAAAAAACACAAAGCTTAGTCTTTTTATTACCTTTACTGTACCTAAAGTCTTGTGTGTCCACTGGCTACACCAGAAACCCCTCAAAATTGACCTGTTGCTTCCAGTGGAAGACTCGAAGCGGAAGACAGACAAAGTTAGATTTTTTTGGAAAAGGTGTCAGACTCAGGTGCAGCAACTTCTCAGTGTCAGACTACATTTGAACTGGATTTGAACTCTATTTTTATAACCCTGTGATGCACCCCAAACATCCACGCTGAGCATAAATTTACAGTGCCTAACAACGGCATAGTAACCTCATCCTGGACGTCCGTGCTCCTAATTACCCGAGAGACACTAGGGAGCGAGACTGTTTGTAAAGCTGAAAAATACAAAACACTCGAGGTTGCAGATATCATTATCAGGACCTGCAGAATCAATTTGAAATGGGAGGCAAATATAATTATGATGTGAATGAAAATGAATACTCTCACTCAACCACACCTCAGAGGTCCTCACGTTCATAACGCTCGTGCTGTCGGCAGCGCCTTCATTTGTCTCTGCGGCAGAATTAACTTGCTTTGATGTTTTTGAAAGAGCTAATTTGCAGGCTAATTAATCTAATCAGTCTGGAAATAGAGCGACACAGAGTCAGGGGCTCAGTTTGCCTCGTCTCACTCAAGACGAGACACACACCTGTACACACACTGACTCCTTAACACTGTTTGCACATATGGAGTACTAAAATGTAAACAGGTACAAGTGCTGCCTGAGCAGCACACTCACGCACACAGACACACACACACACGCACAGTGAACCCCTCACTCCTCCCCCACAGAATCTGTGTCATCAACACTTGCAGCACGGCAAAGGGCAGCGGAAAGGTTACAAGCGTGAGTTAGTGGAAAGGTCGAGCTAAAGGTCCTGCTTTATTTTTCTTCTCTGTCCATCGTCTGCTGGGTAAGAAGGACCTCCCAATGAGTGAGTGAGAGAGAGAGAGAGAGAGAGATCAGCAGAGGCAGGCAGAGCCGGAGGGGAAATGTTTAGCTGACCTTATTTTGATCCTTGCTTCTCAAAGAAGATTAATCCTTCAGTAATGGTATTTAAAGGATGCCATATTTGATTAAGAAAGAGAGACGTCAGCCAAGCCCTCCCCGTGAAGCTGCGATGTTGTAGTCAAACTGTCAAGGCTGCAGTGCGGCTTTTGTATTGTGTGATACAGTAAAAAGGAAATTGTTTTGACAGCCAGGGGATATTTTAAAAGCGATACAGAAATCTAGCCGCGGCGTACGTTGTGTCTGCACCGCTCAGCTTTGTCTTTTTGCTCAGATTGTTGACTGACCGCACGGCTCTCAACACATTCCAAGTTTCTTCTAGCGGTAAAAGCTGCAGCGTACATATTTCCTATCAGTCTGTCCTGGGGAAGATTAGTAATTTATCTCAACTTTTTTTTGCCTTTGATAATCACATCTTCTTCAGCGGAGCTTGGATAATTCTTTCTGTGTCCATTTGGGTTGGGTTTCACATCCCAGAAAATGTAACCTAATCTTTAAATTTATGTTTTTGTTGAATACAAACAAATGTAATTTTATATTAATTTTCCTTCTGTCCGGAAGTGTGTTTTGTTGCTATTAGCACAAGTTTGAGTTATATGTGTTTTTGGAATTCAATGTCAATGGAAATTAATGATTTTCTATAGCAAAAACCGTTGCTCTAATAGCTATTTTCCACACATGTCTGAGCTAGAAAACGGGCCTGTTCTTGTCTGATTCTGCCTGATTTCTGATTTTATTATGATTTTCCAGTGCAGGGTTTATGTACTTTACAAACAAAAAAGACCAGTTTTAATCAGCTTCAGTTAAGTAAATGGTTGTCTTTTTTTCTTCCAGAGCTCATCTGTCTCTCCATCAGCCAATTTTCGAACTGGAGAGAAGCATCGAAGTTCAAGCGATTATTCCTCTGAAAGCAAAAAACAGAAGACAGATGATAAGGAGCTGACCTCCACACGCTATGTGAGTGAATATGCTAAAATGAATCGTTTTTGAGCTGCGGAGAAGATTTATTATCAAGCTCATTAGAAAGGATTAGGGACAGAGAGAGCTCAATTATTCAGTTCTCTTGTGAATACATGGCCCTGTACTGTCATATCTACAGTAACTACACTTTTTTGTCTAAATGAAGTAAACTGAGATTATTTGTTCTTTATTTCAGAGATGAGATTAGGAGAGATGCTAGAGACTTGTAGAAACATGGCGCACCAAAGGTCTTTGAACCAAGGATGATGCAGTTTATGGCCTGTAACTCAGTCAGATGACCCACTGGGATGCTTCTAGTGAATCCGTTTTGACCATTATATTTAACAAATGGCGTGTAGCCTGTGAGCTAGTTCAGGCAGGCAAGTCAATCTGCGCTATACTGTACACATGGAACACCCCTCACTCACATCATGTTATATACCAACCATACCTGTTTCAAACCTTACCGCCCCACATATGCCACCTTTAGCCACTCTGTTAGGTACAACTGCTCAGCTGCATGTTAATTCAAATATCTGATCAACCAATTACAAGTCAATAACATGCAGACATGGTCAAGATGACCTGCTGAAATCTAAACCGGGAATGTTTGCTTGTCTTATGAGTCGCAACATTTGAATGGCAGGGTCAGAATATGGCACCAATGATGTGAAAGCATTGACTCATTCCACCTTGTATTAATGGTTCGGGCTGCTGTTAGTATAATGGTATGTGGTTAATGTTTTCTTGGCAAACTCTGCCCCTCAGTAGCAAATAGGCATTGTTTAACCCTCTAAAGCCTAACCTGTCACTGGTGTTAGACAGGTAACAGTTGCTTTCTAAAAGCAAGGACTATGCGCTTTTCAGGGATATTAGGGTCATTACGGTAATCCCACACGTCGCAGCACCATTGAAGTTTGGTTGAAACAAGACAGAGTGAGTGGTTTGATGGTGCTCTACAGAAAACAGACATCTTATCAGGGATTTGGGTTCATTTTATTGCTTTGTTTTTCCTGTTTTCTGTGTTATTTGTGGCGCCCCACGTGGGATTACTGTAAAGCACAGAGTTGCTGCTTTCAGGAACCACTGGAATTTTCTGATTGGTTCAAGAGTTACGGTAGTTTGATCTAAAAGTTTGATTCCCCCATTGGTTTTAATGGGGTAAACAGCTTACCTTGGTATTGTTGTTGACCGTGTCTATCCATTTATGACTAGAGTGTACCCATCCTCTCGCTGCTTCCAGTAGGATAATATACCATGCCACAAAGCTCAGATCAAAGTGTTTTCTTCATGACAGTGAGTTCACTGTAATCAAATGGCCATTTGACGTGGTGGAAATTTGGGACGTGGTGGAGATTCACATCATGGACGTGCAGCTAACAACTGTTTGTTGCAATCATGTCAACATTGACCCAAATCTCTGAGGAATATTTTTAGCACCTTTTTGAGTCTATTTCATGAACCATTACATCAGTTCTGATGGCAGAAGAGTCCAACCCAGTATTAGCAATGTGTACCTAATGATGCCCATCAGCAAATATAACACATGTGGGGTGTGTGGCCTCAGACTTCTTCTGCTAAAATATATTATTACACTATTTTTTTTGGTCTTCTCTCACAATGAGGGAACTACTTGATTAAACTGAATTTGTACATGAATTTGTTATTAGGTGTTGAGTTCAATAAACTGATTCTGATTTGTGTTCATATAATAAATTAATTTAAATTAA